TACTAAAGATTTTTCTTTTCACCATTAAAAAATATCTCATGATGTTTATGTTTCAGAAAAAACAAATTTATATGAAATATGATTTTGACGGATAAAACTTAATTTATGGTAACTGTTTTAATGCATTCAATAGACAGAATATTATTCATTTCATCTCAGATCAATTCAGTTAAGTTGTGTTGAAATAATTGTTGAATTTTATTCTGCTACTTTTGATAAGTATATTAACTAACTGATTTTTCTCAGGTCGATTTCTATAGTTAGCTACTTCTCATGTCCATAAAACAAACGAAAAATATGAAAATTACAAATACACACAGAAAAACTCTTAATACCTATAGATGTTTGGCTGGCAATGATAGGCATAGTGTGGAATAGAAGAACAAAAAATGATATCATTTGTTTGGAATCAAAATAGCTTCAAGACCTTGTTCGAGTACCCAGCAAAGATCATCCAAAGACAGAGCAATACAACCATCAGTTGGTTGCATATCTGGACGTGCTACATGAAGAAAAATAGCTGAACCTCGACCAGGTATTATTGGATCATCGTTATAACCGAGTACACCAATTATATCATACAATTGATTGTCTAACCATAATCGTTCATGACTAGCAGGATGTGGAAGACGAATTTGACGATTGTAGTCTTGATGTGCGGCATCATCACACCAACCATCATTTTCAGTAAGTGGTTCACATTTAAGAGAAGTCTTAGGTGAATCAAGACGATCAGAACGATATAATATTCGTCGTAAAGATAGAAAACCTGATGGAGTACCTCCATCACCTTCATGTTTATCTACACGCACACCACTTCTACCAATAGCACTCGGAAGATGACGACCAGCAAAATGCAATATAGCAGACGATCCAGAGATGACTTCCAATTCAGCTAGTTTGCTGTTTTTATCATCATATTTCTGTCCACTAGTCGTCATATTTTCTTGTTCTCTACAATAAATTATATCAAAATCTAAAGTAAATAAATTTATAAGTTGAATAATATCATTTAGATAAGTATTTTATATGGCCAATATTTGGAGAAAAACAAACTCGCTTATCAATAGTTGTTTTTCATCTGCAAATGAATGAGTAATAATGGACCATGAGATAAAAAAAAACGTTACACCTACACTTTTATTTTGTCATAACACAAAACAAAAAAGAAACAGAAACACTTGTGATACAAACGTAAGAAGAAACAATAGAACGAAAGAAAATGATTAGAATTAGTGGTGTAATGAGCATAGGATGTTTATCATACGTTATTATACGTATGTCGAAGATGAAGGCAAAACCACACAAATGACGATAGAATACATATTGCAACATGATGTGTTCGAAATCTGCTCAATGATGAAAACAAATAATTTGCTATAGTAATAGATTGGTATTCTTAATATATTTTATTCTTTGGAATAAAAACCGAAAAATGAGCTGCATCAAAATTTAGACTTTACCTCAGAATCCACATATGAGAATAGTAAACGATGAAAAATGAAATGCTATATGTATTACGTCATATACGAATTTTAAATTTTTCAGTGTCAAATATAATAAATATATGTCTCAAACACATCATTAAAACGTTTCATCAGAAGAAAAAGTTTCAAAATTTACAAGAGAAGGAAAGAACAAATGTGTAATATTCTAGTGTTTCCGAAAAAGATGAAAAACAGTTAATGTCAGTAACATAGGGACTTTTTTCTTTCTCTTCATCTTATGCTATAAGAAAATATATTATTTCGAATATATTTTGGTATGGAGCACGCAAAGTATGATTAATGTACATTTGACTAAGCTTTTTATCTTTATGTCAATAAATAAGCCAACATCAATAAAACAAATATATTAAATGATGAAAGATAAGAAATTATTTGATTGCGAGAACAACAAGTTTCGAAAACAATTACAATGATTGACATGACAAATGCAACACGTACTATTTTGGCACGTAATGATTTGTGGCGATTATACAGTACCAACGGATAGTAGTCTTTGTCCATTTGAATGGAATTGTTATTCAGCTTTTATTTTAATAGGATTTATTATGTTTGACATAGATCGAAGTTAAAACTCATAATGTCTTTCATATACCAATTAATATCTATTTTTCAGATCCTGATATATGTTACACAAACCATTGTTATTGTAAAAGACAAACAATATTTGGCATTATTTAACCAGTTGGTTTTTTTTGATAGGATATTACGATATATCTATGAAATGATACTTGCATAAAAAACGTGTATTCTTCAATGCATCATAACATTCTCCTTGCTGTTAGCTTAAAATAGGAGCTCTTGAAAAGCATGATCTAGTTGCGATTATGTATTTTTCGGAAAGTTTTAGTAATAATTCATCAGCATTCAATGAAGTACTTGCTCCTTCATAGATCTACAACATTGAAAATTGATACTTTGTCGTCAAAATATGAAACATGTCCATGCAACTATGAGATCACGTAATATGGATTATCAATGAATTATTCATTTGGTTGAAGTGATTATATATGATGAATGTGAATGAGATTCAATAAAACAATTGTTAATAGTATCTTTCAAAGTTGCTAATATATAAATGACTATTATTCTTGCACATCTCATTAAATTTTGATTTATTTGACGAAGTTAATAAGTTGTTAATAGTGCATTATCTTCTTATTGATGCATCAACTGACAGCTGGAATGATAGTTTTCATGGTTTTCTTTCATTGGATTTTATCTCCAATGAAAATATTGTAAAGTCAACACAAGTTTGCTTGATTTTCATCAACTGATTCATTGCAGATAATCTACGTCAAAATTAACATGTTAAACTAATTGTATTTATTGAAGAAATACTATTAAGGTGATTGTTTTAAGATGTCGATTGGTTAATAATAAAAAAGTATTTATATTTTAACAATAATTAATTTTTATGTATTAAATCATGTTGATTGATGTTGTAATCGAGAATGTTTATATTTTCTTGGCATATTTAATAAGTCAATCTTTATATATACGTTATAAAATAAATTGTTTTATTCAACTTTACTATATTCTACAGTATGCAAAAATTCTTGTTCGATTGAAAAGTAAAGATAAAAAACATATGTTTATAGAAGCTCTTTAATTTCTATTCTTTGAACTTATTTTCATAGAATTTTATTCATAACAAAGACAAGCTTAAAAAAGCTTCCAAAAATATAAAGATTTCATTAACATTTTCTATGTTGATGATAAACGTTGAAGCACAAGTTAAACAGTTGTTTATCAAATTCATAATTGATTGTCAATGATATCATTACTGCATGAACTATACTCAAATTAACATCTAACAATAGTCGATTTATAGTGATTGGTATCAATACAAAAAATGATCATAAAAATATTCTGAGCGACATTTATTATAACAATAATTGATGAAAACAAAATCTTATAAAAAATGCTTCTCAAATTCGTGAAAAATTATAATTATTTAGAATGTTTCATTATTTTAATCCCGTCCATATTTATGTTAAGAATACAAAAAAAAATAGTGTCATGATAAGTTAGATATTTCCAGATTAAAATTAAATTTATTATGATACTTCTATTTTTTCTGTAAGTAAAGACGTGAAAAGAAAACCTGTCCAATGAAGAATTATAAACTTACTTACGTGTATATTTTGCAATTTAATTTCATTGAATACATAAAAAATGAAGAAATGTAACAAAAAAAAACAATTTATCATTCATGATTTTGTATCAACAACAGTCGCAAAAGAGAAGAAAATTTTATTTTTATGAAAACAAAAACCAAAGCATATCAAATATTATTTTTTTGTATGTACACACAAGAATATGAGTCAATTTTGAAAAACAACTATTTTAGATTAAACATTCTTTAGTCAAAAAATACTCAAAGATGTTAATGTCAGTGTCCATGAAAGAGAGACAACGACTTACAAACGTGAACAGAACTGTCACTTACATGAAATAGTTTCTCATGTTATCAATTATTTTATCTTTAATTTTTCTTCATATCATATATTAATATATTCAAATAATAAATTTTATTTATGCGTAATTTATTTAGATGGAAATAATCAATATACTAAAAAAACAAAGAATTAAATTACTTCTAGAAAATGATCTTATTTCGTACGTGTTGGTGCACTATTTTTTTGTACTTGATGTTGCCAAAGGCAAAGACATGGAAATAAGAATAATTCGGTAAGAATGGCCACCATTGTACTAACTTCAAAACTTACAGTTATTAAACCCCATAAACGTCCTAATCCACCAATAAATATAAACAAAGAAACACGATGTAATTCACTCGCATCTTGATCAATATTCGGTAAGCTATGTAATAAAAGTATTCCCATTGCAACAGGTATACCAGATAAATAACGAAAATGACTATCAACTGAAATAGGATAATTAAAACCTGCTGCTAACATATTTGGACCACGAAATATACCATCTAAACCGACAAAAATTGGGATTATTGCAATAAGACCAATGACAACCTGTAAAACCAAACATTGACTTGTTTTCGTCATTTGTGTACTATAAGACAGCACAAAATATGTAGAACTGATAAATGAAGAAACTCATGTCGTATCTCTGTTTATTCATATCTTTATAAATGTGTTTCATCAAAAGATGTTTCGCTGACAAATTCAAAAAAATAGTAGTGAATTATTAATACTCGACGTTGGCATTTTAATTTGTTTCTTATTGAATCAATAGTTTGTATTTTTTTTTAAATATGAATATAAATAATCAGAAGTAAAACACGTGACTTGTGTTTTGAAATACAAATTTGATTTCATGTATCGTAAAAGTACAAGAACGAAAAGAATTTCATTTTTTGGTTTTTTCTTATCAATATTTATTTAGTAACTTATTATGCGATAAACATAATCTATACTGCGACAATTGTAAAAAAAAATCCTTTCTCTCTTGAATGATCAAATGCATGAAAAAAAATTGATTGCATTTGCCAATATCTGATATAACATTAATAAAATGTCGTCATCAATAAAAGTTCGTATTATTGGAAAACGTGCTCAAATTCAAACAAATGTTTCACAAGTTCAAACAAATAAATTTCAATGTCAACGTTTATGTTTACGTATTGATCAATTAATTGATCCAGTTGAACGTTTAGAACATGCATCTTCAATATTTATACGACAAGAAACACGTTCTATTATTGATAATCTTCTTCAATGTCTTGATGATTGTAATAATTTTATAGAAAAATTCAAATCTTCTACTGAATGTTGCAATCAAGAAATAAATGAATATGAAAATGATTGTGAAAAATTTGAAGAATTAAATAAACGTTTATCAGAATTAGGACAAGATTTATGTCTTGGATTAAATATACAAGAATTATTTAATCAAAAACAAGATCGAGAAGATCAAAAACAAGATTTAGAAGAATTAAATAAAATTTCACAAAAATTATTACAACAAAATCAAGAACAATATAAACAAATTGATAAAATAATAAATCAAAGATTTGAATCATTACGTTATTATATAGAAGAAAAACTTTTGAATCAATTAGATTTAAATCAAGAAAAAACATATTTTAATGAAAAAAATGAATTTTTAAACATTCCATTAAAAGATTTATTAATAAATGAAAAACCTATTGGTAATGGAGGATTTTCTAATGTTTATAAAGGTATTTGGTTAACACATCATGATCAAGTTGCTATTAAAGTTTTACATATAAATAATTTATTAAATAATTCAAAATCACAAATTCAAATTGATTTTTATCAAGAAATATCAACTATGTATAAAATACGTTATGAACATATTGTAACAATTCTTGGTGCATGTATTCAACCAAATTTTTATGCAATTATTATGGAATATATGTCATTAGGTTCATTATATGATGTTTTACATAAAAAAACTCAAAATATAATATTATCTTGGTTAGATCGATATTCTTTAACTTGGCAAATGGCAAAATCAATAAATTATTTACATAATCTTAATCCATCTATAATTCATCGTGATATAAAATCAATGAATTTTTTAATGAAATTAAATGGATGTGAAAAACATAGATTTTTATTGAAAGTATGTGATTTTGGTTTAGCAGAAATTCGTCATGAAAGTTTATTAAAATCAATAAATAATTCAATATCATTTCAAATAGTTGGTTCATTAGCATGGAAAGCACCAGAATTATTTTTATCACATGAAAAACATACAAAACAAACGGATATATATGGTCTTGGAATAACAATGTGGGAATTAGCAACTGGATTAAAACCATGGAATGAATATTTAGATGAAATAATAATAGAATCTCTTGTTAAAAATGAAAAACGACCAATTATTCCATTAAATATACCTGAAGAATATAAACAAGTAATAGAAGATGCTTGGAATCAAGATCCATCTAAACGACCTACTTGTTTTGATTTAATGGAAAGAATGCGTAAACAAATGAAAAATATTACAAAAATTGATGAATTAACAACAACTTCTGTAAATTTGCATCATAACCATCAACAAAACAATATGATTGAACCTACTTTAACCACAAACACAGAGTAAGTATTGAATGAAATACAAATTAAAAAAACAACTAAATTTCGATAGGTTTTTTTTATTTGCTTAGTTCAACAAGAATATCTATATCAGTAGCAGAAGAAAATCGACTAACTGATAGATTGTCTAACATAATAATTTCTGATCATCGACCAAATGAAGATAAATCAATACCTAATACATCTTCATCTTCATTTAATAATAAGCAAATTGAATCTGATAGTATTTCTAAAGGTCATCGATTCGAACGATCATTATCAAAATCGGTCGAAGATTTATCTTCAAAGTAAATTAATAAATAAAAATAAAAATAAATTATATTAACTTTCTATTTAGAAATATTTCAAAAACAAACAACCTCATTAGAGAATCTCATCAATCAAAATCAACAACCATTATATAGTAAAATAAATCAAATAATAATAGTACTATATATCTTTGTTATCTTTTAGTCGAAGTATTATTGGCAGAACAATTACATCAGCAAATGATGAAGATAAAGATGAAGATAATCATACACAAATAAGACGACAAAGCAGTATTATCACACAAGATACTGACAGTATGCCACTTGTCTACAGATTTTAAACAAAACAAAGATATTCAACATATTGTATTATCGGTTATCATATTATTCTTGTAATAAGATAGATTTTCTATTCATGATTAAAATCCATTTTCGGATATTTTATTTCTGAAAAATATATTCTCAATTATTGTACTAAGTTACATACAAGTAAAATCAATCTTTTAAATAAAGGCATGATATTATTTAAAATTCATTTTCTATGAAACATAAATGTGTCTCAGCATGAAAAAAAAACGTTTGTTTTATCGAATAGAAAGATTTAATATCAGACTTTAAGGTAAGTTAACTGATTTAACTTTCGTATTTTTGTGTGAAAACATGTCTTTTAATCAAAGTCAAAATTCTAATAGAATTACTAACCTTAAGTAAAATTTGTCTAAAACAGTACTCTTAAAAACGTTTTTTTTTTTTAATTATTAGAAGGATTGTAGTTCGATGGTTGCATAGTATTACCGAATAGTATTATGCGTAATGTTGCAATTGTTTTTATTCAAAGATTAAGAGTTATATGTGATCGATTGTAATAAACAAAGCCTTGGCAATAAAAAATGATAGAGTAGATGAGATAAAAACGTATGAAACAGTTATAATCTATATATTCATTTTTTGTCAGCAATGATTTTTATCAAATTATATCTTGATCGTTAGTTTAAGATAGTTAAGATATATTTTAAATCTTTTTAACTTTTTTTCTTCGTTGAATAATTGTTGAATCATGTTTATTGAAGAATAGAAGTTACAAAAGAATAGAAAAGCAAGTAATAGCTTATGTATGCAAAACGAGAATATATTCTCTTCGTATGAGGGTGAATGTGAATATTCTAATGATGATTTTAGTACATTTATCGAAATATTATCAATTGGAATCCGAAGATAATAATCATGAGGATAATAAAAAGAAGAATATAATAAGAAGAAAATGATAGTCGAAAAAAAAAGTAAGATCTCACATTTGTTAAACGTCATCAATAAAAACAAAATGCAACAATTGAGTTTACATTGTCACATTCGAATCAAGGTACGTCATCGGAAAATGAAAGTGAGGACTTTTCTTTTTCATGAATTTACAAATCGTAGTTTCGTAGTTGACAGTGTTTTTCTTATAGTTGTCAATCATTACCTTTATGTTTAGATAAATACAAAAAAAACATATGGAGAAATAGTCAGGCGGCTTTTAGCACATAATAGAAATGATCTACTAGCCGATTAGTTCAGATGATGAGTTCCCTAATCGATTCGTTTAATAAAATGGACATTGCTACCAGAAAAACGTAACAGGTTCGTTTCACCTGATGTTTTTCGTTTTATGTTTCGTTGTTCTTTCATGAAGAAGTCAAGAAGAAACAAAAGAGCTCTTTTGTGTTACTTTTTCCTCTAGATATATTATCAAACAATTTGTCTAAACTTGTAATAATGACAAGATTACTTTGTTGATGTAGAACGTCATGATTCAATGAAAGATCGAAGATGTACTATACGTGTTCGAAACAAAAAAAAAAAGAACTAAGAAATATGAAGAAATGAGATTCAGAATTCAACGAGAATCATCAATATTATGTCAGCATTTAGACAGTCCATTATAGTCTTCTCTAATATATATTCAAGTAGTTTATCTTAATTTCGGTGAATTCTATAAGTAATTTCAATATTTGAATATAAATTGAAAATCTGTATATAATCTTTGTGAAAGAAAAAAAAGAGAATTGTTTCTTGATCCGTAGTGTATTCTGATTTTATTGTAGAGTAGAATGATTAATTATCTTTCATATCATAAAGTATAGAAAAGTTTTACATGTTCTTTTTCTATCTCAAATTGATTATTCGATATAAATTAATGTAATTAAATATATGTTTGCAAATAAAAAAATATCTTGATGATAATCTCACATAGATTATTAGTAGTTAATCAAAGTTCTTGATAAAAATAGTCAATTTCTTTATTAGAACGATCGAATTGATCTAAGAACTTATGATTATATTTTTCAGCTAGTTTTTTTTTCTTAATAATTTAACTAATAATTCGATAGTTGTTTGTTTTAATTGATTTTCGTTTTTCTTCTACGAAGAGAAAAATCAATCCAACAATTATTTTCATATTCTTTCGATTCAGCTCTTTCACGAATTCATTTTGTTTTTGTCATATGATGTTGAGATCTTGTTATGATCTAATGTATACTTTTAACAGAACTGATTCAAAGTCATTTTTAATAGTAGAAGCATTTGATAAAATTGTTGCTAGTAGAAATTGTAGATTGTATTTCATTGATACTAGTTGATAAGAAATTTTTCAGAGAAATCAATGAAAATTGATTGAAACAAACGCTTCTTATATTATCATTTCGCGTTCATTGAAAATGAAATGTCCAATGTTTATTCTAGTTAAAATTTTTAAATATTTCAAATAAAAGATCGAAATGAAAAGAAAATTGGTTGGTATATCATCAAAACAGATGTATACGGTTTAGGATTATTTTTATATTCGAGTTTTTTATGTAATTCCTTAGATAGATTTAATTAATTTATTTGGACTTTATTTTGATTGTTAAAGTTGAATAAGAATTTCAAGTCATGGTTGATCATGCAAAAAATTTCTATTGAATAAGACTGTTGTTTTCTTCTAAATGTTCATTAGTCGTTAGTAGTGTGTTTTAATTTTGTTTTCAAACAAACTTTTTTTTTGACACAGTTTGATTTCATTTTCATAACTTGTATGTTTATGTCAATCATACTGAATGTTGAGAGTACTTTTGATTACCTTTCCCTGTTCATTTAATGTTGGCAAAAATGTTTTCATGATTAGAACAAGAAAAACGAGTGAAAAAACAAAAATAAATATAAAATGTGGAAACAAAAAATTCTGAATGAAAAAGTTGTCTTTTTTTCTCAAAAGAAAGACTATTGATAACTACATAGTCAATGTAATCATGGATATCTATGCAAAAAAAAACTGTCATTTTGTTGGTGTTCTAATCCTTCAATAACTTAATAGAACGAAGAACATACATGTTGTCTGGTATGAGTTGTTTTAATTTTTCTGAAGAGCAAACTCTACACTACTACGAAGCTACGAAAGATAAAGAATGAACTCTTTAAAACAATAAAAATATGTGTCGCAGTAGAAATTAAAAGTCATTAGAATTTAAAATTCTATTAGTAAAAATTGAAATATCATTTTCTACTAACATAAAGGTTTATAGACAAATTAATATGATGAATCAAAAAAAAGCATCGTTAGAGGTTCAATAGAACGAAAAGAAACTCAAATACCGATTTAATGCTTCAAAACAACAAGAGCAATTGCTTTTCAAATTTGATTGCCGAAAACTTTTTTGGACATAAATCATTTTTAAAGCTAAAGAACCACTTTTTTCTGTGTAAGATGTTGTGCTCTATCCAATCATGTACAAGTATGGTGAAGAAAATTTTCTATAATTTCGAAGTGTGGACATTTTACTGTAGCATAAAATCAAGGAGCAGTTGTCATTCAATTTATATATTTATTAACTGTTGATTTTATTCATTCTTAAACGTTAATTAATATTCTTGTCTTCTCTTTTGGTAAGTGTTCATCAAAATTTGAGCAAAACGACATATACACACATGATAAACGATATTATTTTTATATTTATATGATTTATTTAATTTTTTATAAAATTGATTATCATTTTATTTTTATTATAATAGAAGAAATTAATACAGAATTTCGTCAATTACAGAAGAAAGTGTCATTGTGACAATGCAATCGAATATATGTATTGAATTTGTCTTATTTGAGATGTCCATATTAATCAAAGATAAAATATAAAGATTTTCTTACGACATGTTACGCATTAGTTTCATGGACTTCACAAGACAACAAAACATCATACGAAATTTAGAAACCATAAGGTTCAGCTCAATCATATAGAAGAACTTCTCTCGTTTATATTAGTCGAGAAATAAATTAATTCTTGACAAAGAATGCTTCTAATTTTTAACAGAAATATTGAAAAGAACTAATATAGATCAGATCAGTACTGTTACTTGAATGTATACAACACCAAATCTAATCATGTAGACGGGATGTGGGTCTCGATATTATACCAACATCGACATGTACCTTTAAAAAAATTCATTGAAATAATTATTATTTTTCTGAACGAATCAAAGCATTAATGAGTATTGAATTTGAAACAAGAGATAGTCATGCCGGCATGATAATGAAAATTTGTTACTCAACTTAAGACATAAACAAAAAGAAAAAAAATTATTTTATAGAAAAAAGCGAAAATTAAAAAGAACGACAGCACAAAAAGGAGAAAAAAATACAAAAGAAAACAAAAAAAATGAGAAAAGGTCTCTATCTTCGGCGGGAATAATCTCTGAATTTTCGACGCATATCGGAACAAGTTTGTTCGTCTTGGTGCCGGCATCACAGACTAATGAACAAGACCACGCGCATCCTAAGTTTTTATTTGGAGAAAGAATATTTTAAAAAAAAGATTACAATGGTGTTACTCATCGGGTTTAGATCGCACCAGCGAATGTGCATGGCGAGAACAGGTCCCCGACGTCGCGCGCACTTCATTGTCTCACCATAGAAGATGTAGCCTCAGACACTAGTATCGACCTCTTCTATGCAAGATATTGCTGTAAGGCTTTCAGCAACCTCATCATCATTTTCTGAAAGCATATTTTATGACTAATGGAAACATCTGGTGAGCTATCCGTCTTATCTTGAGACACCAATGAGATAGAGTGATTTTAACATTAATTTTGCTTCACTGTATTTAATTTGAAGTGATGAGAATAAATACAGTTATTTTTGAAATAAAGAGTTATTTCAACGGTGTGAAAAAAAAAGTTATCTCTTCAACAGTAGCAGCCTCTTAAGTGAGCTACATATGAATAAAGCAAGAAAGTTTATCATGGGCGTGATAGAACTAGAATGAAGACAGAGAAGATAGAAGATATGTATACGAGGAGGTATTTCTCATGATATACCGTCACGACTTCCTTT